TGTCTTGGAGAGAGGCTCTGACACCACATTTGGGAGATTGGCCCGTACTTTACTAACCCAGTAGGTCAGATTCAGATTTGTACCTACCCAAGCGCCGCGCGAAGTACGAATTACAATCTGGTAAACTCTCGATTTTATCTGTTTATACGGTGAGCTCCGAAAGGGATGCAATTTCTGGAAGAACTTTGGGGAGCAGAAAGAAGAAAACGCACCATACTCGTTAAAAATTCCCAGAACCAGGCAAGGCTCTACTACGTAGTAGCTAATCTCTTCTACTATGTGTTGACTACGCAGCACATACAGTACATACTCCAGCATCTGTGCACATCCTGTAGCGTGTTAAAGGGGGGTTGAATCCTAGCTTAGGATGCAGGGTGAGCATTTGCCCCTCGAGAGACAGAAAAAGCAAAAGTTGCAAGCTCCCTACTATTGCCCAGAATATTTCGAATGAAAGCATGACCAATGGAGCCATGTAGGCTTTACCGCAGCACAACAGAATCCCGAGGTGGATATACATACGTATTCCTGAGCCGGTATAATACACTAATGAGGTAGATCAGAATCCTGGTTACCGTATTTGCGGGGTTTTCCTTAATCGAAGGAAAACCAGAGAACGACTGGCGCTGGTTCGCGCGCCGCGACGCCCTGTATCTACTCCTATCAATGCCAATTCGCACGCGCATCTCACACACACGGTACAGCGGCACTAGCCTCCAACAACGGGGTGCAACCTGGCTGCTTCTGGGTCCAGGGACTCTCCCTGCAACAACGGCATACGCAAGCACTTATTGGGACAAATGATCGAGCCTAGCAGATCGCTCCGATGACATTCAACTGACAGGCAGGTTCAGACAATGCATAGAGGATGAACGGGCTCCTGTCGTTTTCCTTCAGCCCCCCATTTCGACGTCACGAGCCCAGGCGGCCCGCTATATTTTAGATCATCAATATCGTCCAGATGTTACCGATGAGGCTCTTTCGGCATGGCAATCCTACCCTATGCCAGGAATAATACGTGCTTCCTTTATATATACACACTTACGTACATGTCCTCAATTCTACAAGATCATCTGGCGAAGAGGAGGTGGCTTGCATTGACACCATTCAGGCCCGCGCCCATATTTGATGCCACTCAGTCTGCAGTAACGCCAGCGGAGCACACTGCATTGCCAGGTATACTTGCAGCCGTCCGATCGATGTTGGGGAAGAGTACAGAAGATCCTACATGGGTTGTTCTTCGCCATTATTTTCTTCCATCAGTTTGAGTACCTTTTGTTACTTGCAATTGAGGCTTTGACGTTACAATAAAGATTGTCTCCTTCAACGCGCCAGAGGCGCTAGAAAGCCAGTAGTACAAAATACCCAGGTTCGATTCGCATCAAGCCGCTAGAACTGTCGACCATTCATATGGAAGGTAATCTATATATCTAGATCTCTATATAACCCGGGACGATGGGATGACTAGATCGACTACCGCGTAGGGAGATAGGTAGGTAGTATTTTACCCTAAAGTCACAGCAGCCTCATAACTTTATTCCCGCTTTGCGCGCGCGTAAAAGTCCAGTAGCATCAATAGACAGCTGAAGATTGAAGCTAGCCATATCGGACTATCTAGTACACCACTTTGAAGATTCATATGCCAAGAAAATAAGCTTGAAGCGAGCTGAGCAATTCAGGAGACAACAAGATGCCTGCGACGGTACATCCGCTCCTATGTAAGTACGTTTCAATGATTTCTTACTTTTATATCATTCTACACTTCACGATACCCACACTGGCAAAACCTCGCGCATCTCGACAGCGGTAAGCTTATGTGTGTAACATAACCTACCATGTAAATAGGTACGTGCATAGCCGTCCTTTTTGGAGGAAATGATAGAACCATGTAAGTAATGATAAGCAACGCTATTCATTATCCATCACCCCTTTTCCCAATTTCTTCGTGGGTCTGGTCCCCGCAGGGGGTTAAGGAGATTCAGAACGTAATCGACAAAACATAGTGCACGCTTAGTTCGTGCCTATGTATTCCTAGGCTGCTAGGCCGGGCCGGTGAGAAATAGAGAAAGCACACGAGGCCTACCACGTTAACGGAAGGCCCTAGTCGCGGACACACGGCCGAGCGAGATCAGTGAGAAACCACCCCCTGTCATGGAATGCATTAGCGCAAGAACGGGGACAGGGGATTGCGGAAGGGCTACACCCCTGTCGGTCATTTAGAACCCCAATTCCACCCCCATCCCGTCCTGTCCATCACAACACTGGACCGGGAGCTGAGCTTTTTCAGGTCTTCTTAGTGTTCAGCTGTATTCCCCGTAAGCACGGCAGTAACTGTTAATTACTGAGTTTAGAAGGTATAATAAGATAGAGTACCGGTGAAGATGGGGGCAATTTTTACAATCAATAAAACGTGCTTCCGTGTCTCTAGTTTACCTAGTTTGGTTTGGTTTGGTTTAGCTTACACACCTGTCTAGCTTAGCTAGGAAACACGGGAAGCCGGACGGTCTGATGACAGAATTAGGTCCTAGTTATACTGCCCATACACATTTCCAGGTTTACATGTACATATTTATATGTGGTAACAACAGCGGTAACAAGGGTTTTACCCCGATATCTACATACCACATAATACATCACTTCGTGATGAACCAATGCCTAAACCAGCTAGAAGGACCAATAAATTAATCGTAATATAGGTTGTAACGACGACCCAGGCACTAAGAGCATCCCGGGATCTTGGGTGCATGGAGCTTTTAGAGGGGCGGAGAGCGGGTGCTAAGTTCAAAATCGCAATGTCGAACAGGGGAGCCAGGTTGCGAGGTTGCAAAGGTTGCAAGGTTCTAGCCTCTAATGTCTTTCCCTACATACGCAGTATGTAAATCTAGGTAGGTACTTAGGTACGTACACTTCCTAGCTGTATTTCCCCCTTGAATTCGAACATCCTTTCATTATTTTGGTGAAGGAACACCCCAGAGGCCACAATTTCTCAGAGACACAGTACATATTTTATTTTCCTTTGCATGTCTTCTTCCCTCTCACTTCGTGACCTTCTCCGTCCCTCCTTAATTCATGACCAAACTTCACTCTACTCCTTTCCTCTACGAGCACTCCTGGGGGCATCCAAACCAAGGTAAAAGTATACCAGGTACGTAGTAATATGTTCTTTTGCGTCGAGGCGTCCTGACTATTGGAGATCAAGATCCTACATAGATTCTCGGTATTGGCACTGGTATTGTGCATATGCGTTGGTAATCTAGGTCATCTGGGTCATCGGGGCAGCAGGCTAAGTTATTACTCCTTCAGCCCACGTGCTTAGCGCTCTGGTTTACTTAGTACTGCCCTAGATCAAGCAAGCCACCGTCCGTCCGTGGTCAACGGACGCTTTTGTTATCTCTTGATAGCTTCTTCAACGGTCAAATAAGCCAAGGCCTCCAGTGCTGAGTTAGCACAGTCGCCAATATTGAAATCAAGAGCGAATTTATCGTCCGAAAAAGAACGTTGAAGAGCACCCAAGCACCCTTATGTAAGGATATACCACCAAACTACATATGTATATACCTACCACCTACTTACGCGTGTAAAATGTACGTAGTATGTATCTGTGTAGTGGTAGTGCTACTTATTTAAGTGTTTAGGTATGTACCTACCAGAGCGCCTTCTAGGAAGAACCGGCCCTAGCTACATACCTGCTCTGCTTAAACTCTCCAGTACACATGGAAGAATTTACTTAGGAACATAGGAACCTAGGTACATCCCAAGGTCTACGCCTACTACCTACGTACATAGGTATACATAGGTACGCGCCTCATCCGTCTTTCTTGCCCCTCTATCAGCTTTACACTCTTAAACTGCATATATGCACATCCGGTAGCACCTTCAGCCCGTGGAGCTAGTCTGGGGTGATGGATTAATACGCAGTACGTACTAGCAAACCCCCGGTCCCTACCTACTTCTTCTTAACTTACTACAACAAGATCCCTCCTCGCCAGAAATAAATAAAACGATAGAGACTTACAATAAAAAACTAACTCTAGCCCCAACCAAAACTACGAGAAGAGACAATTCGCGAAGGGCCAGCCGAAAAGAAAAGAAAAAGCAGGATCAAAATCAAAATCGATAAAATAGCTTTCTGTCCCCCCCAAGAAACTAAAGGCCGGCCTAGGAACGGTTACCTCTTCCTAAGCAAGGATTTGACCAATTCATCCAATAGAGTATATAATTCTAAGGGCGCCTCCCGGCAGCCATTTCTCTATGATCGACGTCTCCACTTCTAACCTTCCCATCCAAGCTGGCGCGAGCTTATTTACCTATCAAAGGACCTCTCCCTCGACCACTGCAACCGCAACTATAACTACAACTACAACTACCTCCACGCAAGGTAATCCAACCTAGATCTCGAGATACTGCTTTCAACCACCAAGCCTCAAAAGTCAGAAGTGACTTTCAGGACTTTGGTCTGGGGATTTTCTTCCCCAAACCATAGAATTCGACGACAGTGGCGTTTCGGTTTCCCTAACAGCTAACTCTATCGCCGCGACAGCACGGCCCACTGTCGAATCTACAGATGACTTAGCATACAATTATATAATTCGACACTATACGACTCTAATTATCATTAACAACGAATATTAGGACGAACCTAGTCATCTGTCCTCCTGATTTCACATGGTTGCTCCGTTGGCTCTTGAGTACCGCCTACCAGAACCAGCTTCCATTTACGACTCTCGACCCAATTGCGATAAGCTCTGCCGCTTCCAGATTTTCTGAAGACTTAAGTTATAGTTTCCGAGGTAGAGGTAGCTAATACGCTTCTACCTTCTATCAGGATTTGGCAGATGCGTTGGAAGGCCAACGTCTTCTATCTCCATCTCCCATCTTCGCTCTCTATAAAAAGCATGGAAGCCGTCTCGACTAGCTTTTCTTCTCGTAGAACAGCAACTCACGCACTTCCTCAGTTTCATCTTCCAACTCCATCGTCTCTATTAGATATCGGAGTAACCAGTATGCATCCTCCATATTTTAATTATCTTCCCCCCGATTCTCCCTCCTCCTCCCCTCCTCCACCTGACGATGAAGCTCCCGGTGACAAGCCCCATCTTAATACTCCTGTTGGGTCTGTTGTTCTGGGGGCAACGCAACAGAGCTTCTCCTTTCCCGAGCAATACACCGATGAGCTTTATCTTCTAACCAACTCCCCAGGAGTGCCTAGTAGTGACACCCAAAGTCCTTCATCTGGAGTCTATAGCGGTAATTCTCAGAATTCTTCTCCGGCAGGTCCACTCTATAGCCCTCAAAGCAGCAGCTGGCAATCTTTGCCGGTTTCTACGCCTTATACGCAGAATTTGATGAACCAAGGAGGACTGATGCAGTCAAACTACGGCCGCTCTTCGATCTACTCTTCTGCTAGCCCCGCATATCCTCGAAGTTCGCAGTCTCCAGCAGACGGCCTTCCACCCCCATTCGAAAGTGGTTCACAAGCCTTTTCTCTTCCTGTTCCGGGAGGCGGGCTTAGCCACTCGAATTCATATTCCCAGCCTTCACATCAGCATCCTCTGCAGAACCCGATGATGAGCAGCCACTCGCAGGGACCCCACCCCTCCACTCCCTCAACGACAGCAGCCTCAGACAGTTACGCGCGGCCGCAACCAGGTTCTAGCTACTACTCGGCACCATCTTCGTCAACAGCTCATCAATCCTCTTACTCCTCCTTTGCGTCTACTCACACCTCCCAGCCGCAGACGTCCCCGACAACGGCAGGGGCTTTACCAAGAAGCGTTACAGCGCACCATTCTCCTATGCAAGCGCCACACTATCCAGGACAATACACGTATTCAGGAGGCCCCGTGTTGACGAATATGGCGAACCCCGGCGGTCGTATGCACATTGTAGGCCCCATGTTGTCGGGCCACCACCAATACCACCCACAGGGGCAAATAATGGGGGCGCATCATATGTATTCTAACCAGGCGGCTCAACAGCAAGATCGCCCCTTCAAGTGCGACATATGCCCCCAACAATTCAATCGGAACCACGATTTGAAAAGACATAAAAGGATACATCTTGCAATCAAACCGTTTCCCTGCACTTTTTGCGATAAAAGCTTCTCGAGGAAAGACGCCCTGAAGGTTGGTCAAAATCCCCTGCCGCTTTTGATGTCCGAATTATATGTAGGCAATGCTAATAATAATTAACAGCGACACAGGCTCGTCAAAGGTTGTGGGGCTGGACAGGACGAGTCCGGTAATGTCGTCGATACTAAAATAGAAGATCAAAACGACGGTTCGGGTTCTGCGGTGATCAAGGACGAACCGTCATGAACTCGATAGTAGGGCGTCTTATTAGAGTTGGCGTGTTGTCCCAAGCAAAGTCACCGGACAAATGCTACGCTGGGATCGGAATAGTACAGGGGTACGTCATATGAATGGTAGGGTCGTTGCATATTGCATCTACGGCGGGATATTTTCATAAGGAGCAAAAATGGCAGGATACCGGAAAAGAATAGGTCCTTGGAGTCAACGGATATGGATTTTGTGGACGGGCACGACTGATGCTCTACGATACCAAAGTCACGGCATGGTCCCCATTAGGTTATATACAGGCGGGGTTGGCAATGCGGCTTTTGTTTCCCTTTTACGTTTTTTTCTGATGGATATGGTGATTTTCCTCGAGTCGACAAAATACGAATAGGACTTCATATCGAACCAACCTTCATATTACCAGGGATCTGGACGGGTGGCCAGCTTGGTCTACACGGCTAATTGATAACGAGCGCGACCATAGCATTGTCATTGTTTCCTCTTTGTTTTTCGGGACGGTTTGGGTGGAATATATTATCTTCGGTTGGCTGGATGGACAAACATCGAACACGAATCCATACGGGCTGAGTTGATGGGGTTGGGACAGCATTCCCTAGGACCATATTCATCGGGCGGGTATTTCTCTTACGGATGGACTTCGACAGATTAGGAAATTTCACCTGGACCGGCTTACTGACAGTAACATGGATAGCGTGTTCAGTTCTGCGACTTGCGATTGTGTATATCTGGCGAACGGGGATCGGTGTATGATATTTGGACAAGATAGACTACGGTTGCTTTACGGGGTCCTTGGGAATGGAATTGAGAGCGGTCGTGCTAAGGTTGTTTGCTTAGGTATTATCGTTTGGGTAAAGAGGAGAATGTTTCTAGGTCTTCATACTTTCTTTACATGTTGATACCCCATACACGCGCATTGTATGTAGCTTGTTTCTCCTTTTTTTCGCGTAGGCAACGTGAAATGTAGCAATAGCAGACAACACCAGCGATAGGCTCCATAAGTCTGTTCCCCCTTTCAGGGGTAAATAAAAGAACACTTGCGCTATGACGTACATTGTTATGGTTGGTTCGATAGTTTTGGCTGAACAAACATCGTTGTTATAATTGAGTTATTACATATTCCATATCAAACTTAAAGGTCGAGTTACTTAAATATACTAGGTATATCATGAAGTACATACCTAGTGACTAACGACATGGCAATATTAACTCTAACGTGGTCATATTCATATTTCTAACCTTGTTAATGGTTGGAACCTTAATAATGCAACAAACTAGGTACTCTTTAAACTAGGCGATTCACAAAACATCAAGAACTATTCAGCCACATGATAAGCTAATCAACCTCAATAATCTAGTTTGAACATCAATATTTCCTACTTGTAAGGTCTTTGCTCTACAACTTTAGCAGGTAGCGTCTACTTACCCAACCAAGCCCACCATTCATACCATCTGAAGTTAGATCAAAAGTTCATACGAAGCTAGAGAGTGGACAGACATGGACTCTGCCAGTAAGTTGTACAACGACGCTGATCCTTAGCTAGGTACTTTAGAGAAACTCACCATACGGTCTCGCTGCAAGTATCTAGAAAGTTTAAACCGCTTTATTGAATTTCCCACGACTCGGAGAGTGGATACAAAGGTCACGAGCGAGTTGACATTGGGAAACAGCGCATTCACGAAAACACAGTCGAGTCTGATAGGGGAGACGGGACTGAACACGTATGTACATACACATAGCTAACGACCCCCATCAGTGGCCCGAAAAAAGGGGGAGAACGTTTCGGGACACCCCGGGCCTGGGCCTTGAAATCTCGATCCAAGCCCAGCCAAGGAATGCGTCGCATCTCAGCTTCCTCTATCCACCATAATACATACCTACATACAGTTAGGTACACACACATACGCGCAGCAGTAGAACAGCGCGCTAAGCAGCTAGCACGTCCCGTGTTTCTCGAACTTCGTTTTCTCGTGGCTTTTCCCGGCCGACCCAACGGGCTATGTCACAGGGCATCCACCCCAAGATAAACCAGAACCCAGTTCAGCCAGTCAGCCATTCCCGTCCCTCGCACCACGATGATGGAACATGCCGGTCTGAAGGCCTATGAGGAGGGCTGGCGCCCGGGTGGGCTTGCTTCCTTTAGTTAAGAAACAGTCCAGAAGCAGCTCAGGTGGCTTCCTGCCTTCTGCACGCTATATACGCCATACACGCTAAATACGCACGTAAGCATCTTGTAGCAGCTGTGGTCCTTAGTGAGCCAGTTGAGCCAGTGAGCCTACGTACACGCCTAGACCACATTGCCGTCGGCTCCGAACTACCACGACGAACTACTGCTAGCAGCAAGCTACCTACCCAGGTGGTTAGCTCCCCTCCTCCCCGGACCGGATTACCTAGATTGTTTGTGGTGGCCACATGGTAAGGCTGAAGGTGCTTGGCTATGTCTCTCCTAGCAGGAGCTCGCCCCCTAGGTCTGATTACATGACTGTGATGTATTTACCTACCTACCCAAGTACCAAGACATATGCCATTCAGGATTCAGGCGTATATTTATACTGTTAACTACGTGTAACAACTTAACAAAGCTGGCGGCCTTTCGAGTAGAATTAGGCATTAAGAACATACCCCTCTCCTTTCATTTTCTCTAGGGACAACCAACGATTCCCATTCCAATCATCGAACAGTTCCCACTATTCATAAACCACGACATATCAAAATTCGTTACATAAAAGCGTATATGTTCATTCTACCTTGTCTTAGTTGTCATTTTTCTTGCTAGGTAGGGTTGTGAAACCAAACATGAAGTCCGATGCTAGGATGGCTTACAGAAGGAAAAGCAAAAACCTCACTGGGTCCAATGGATCTAAGAGATCGCGTCTACTAAGCACGATTGGATGGGAAATTCCGTCAACCTAGGGTCTTCTGAGTGAGAGAGAGGAACTAGGTAAAGAAATGAGATAGGTAGTTTTGAACTCCATTTCTTTTCACGCCCAATGGTATGGCGCAGGAACAACGGTCACGGCTAATGATTTGTAACTGGTCATATTGAAAGATACTGCAGGATACACGATGCCACCTACAATTGGATACCGCGGAAATGGGGATCTTTGGAAAATGGATGGATATTCGAAAGAACCAAACTCTTGGGAGCTGTTCATGTTTGTCACACGGGAGAACATCTTCATCTCGGCCTTCACTTTGCCATGCTCATCATCGTATTTCTTAATTCCTGCTTTAGGTATGGACTCCGTAAAGTGAAACTGCACTTTTACACCGAGGCAAGATGACATGTAGCGACATATAGGTAGAGCCCAGTTGGCCCCCGATATTCATCCTGGTATGCAATGAGAACGCGTCTGTCTCGAAGTTCACTTCCATCTTGTACCTATCCTGCTTACACCGAGGGTATATCTCCCATGTTATCGGCGACCAGGTTAGGATTGTGTAACGCGAGACGACTCGCGTTGCCCTCTATTTTTGTCATCCTAAGTCCAAGGTTGTCTTGTCACGCAGGATCTGGGATCTGGGCATCCGTCACGGACTCACGGCCGATCCTGAAAGGAGACAAGAATCGATAATTCATGATGACTGTTCCAATACGAGATACGAATTGCATATTAAAAAATACCAATAGTAGTTCATAATGCCATGCAGAAGGTATAATGTGCAAATTTCCCAATATCCGATCAATTGAAACTTTTGCTTCTAAACACGAGAGAGCATTATGCAAGGTATTGGGTAAAAATAGCGTCGAGGATTTTGACCCCCACCCTAGCTGGTACGTAGTATGTGCTAGAGTTGATTGGGTCCCGTCGCAGATTGGTCATTGATAATTACATAAATGTTCAATTGAATAGATAGGTACGTATATACGTGATATGTAAATGTGACAAAATGGATATCCTTAGCGCCCGAAACTATCGACGGGGTATGCAGGGGTCAGGCCTGTCCCGCTTAATTCCGCCCGCGCGCTACGGAGCACGGGGTTGGAGAAATGTTGGAGAATAAGCTTAAGCTTTTCAGGGTCTTAGCAATGGAGAAAGGGGAAAAAGATAGAAGATAGGGGGAGGGGGGGGAATGGCAGGATCTCATCTCGAAATCTTCGAATCTGCAGTTCCATTCGCACAAAATCCCACAATCCCCGTAACGTCGTAGCCGCGGGGCACGCCTTACCTGCCTAGAACAGGTAGTTCGATCAACGTCCGCGAGATGAACGCATCGTCCCGCCCTACCTGAGTGGAAAGGGTGGCTTCCGCCTGCCGGTACGGCGTTTCCCATTCGGGGAGCCATGTCCGCGAAGACGGCGAATCGCGGTGACGTTATATCGCATGCGGCAAGCAGGTCTCGTAGCAGTCCCGGCGACCAACGAGATTTTGTTGCTACCATCATTACCATCGTCGTCAATCTCATACCATTCATCATCAGATTCCCCCCCATACCTACACATCCATAACGATCAACTAGAAACCAATATAGGTACCCAGCGCTGTACCCCTAAGGAGGCTCTCTACTAGGGGGGAAGCTAGGTACGGAGAAATTTCTCACTGGACAGAGTACGGGTTTCAAGTGAGACGAACGCAGCGATTGAGAAATCGGGCCTCGGGTTCCTGCCAACCAGATCCAGAGAGCCCCAAGCTCCAGGTGTCGTTAAATTAGACTCGGGTGTCCCGTTCTCGTCCGCGCGACCCATCCCGGCTCTCCTCGGCTCGCTTGGACGGGTGCGCTTTGTGGTCTGTTGCAGTTGCTGTCAGACCCAAGCTTGGTAAGCTTGGTAAGCTGTTTAAGCAAGCTCACTACCTAACCAGGCCAGGCCAGGCTGGCCAGGTCGACAAGGGGAAAGAAGCAAAAAGAATCATTGATATGTACCGTGCCGTCGCCGAAACGGCACGGGAACGCGGGGCGAAGAAAGCTGGCATAGGAAACACGCAATACGCGAATAACTAATGACATAGGTAGAGTACACATCAGATCATATCAGATGAGATGGATGCAATGAATGTATGCACGCTTCCGTTCGCGAGCGAAACCAAGACAATTGCCTACCTACCTACCTACCTACCTACCTATCTACCAAAAGTACTTGCTTTAAGATAGGTTAGGTGAAACGCTATCTATTTAGTATTCCTACCTAGACAATCCCGTCGCGGGCGAACTCAGGGCGAAATGCCGACGGTTCGCACAACACCCGTCGTCACACGTCCCGTCTCCCCAAACCTCCCCTATCCCTGGCAGGGGAAAGCTTTGTGTCTTGCCTTGGAGGCGGGATCCCGCAGCGCGTCACCGCGCAGGATATATGGGTAGTAACTAGGTAGTAACCAGGTACTTAGGTAGGCAGGTTACGTATTTCCTACCGGCACCGGTTCATCAAGTACAAGCACAAGCACAAGACAGAAGAGAAAGAGAGAGAAAAATAATCACCGAGAGACAATCCATCGACACGGCCGGTATGGAGGGACGCGCCTTATCTGTCCGACTCTGCCTAGGTACGTACGGTGGTAGCTAGCAGGTTTAAGCTTAGCTTAAGTAGATAGGTATGCGGCAGCTAAGAAGCAGGTAAGACGCGAAGAATTGGGAAATACAAGATTGGTCCTTTTGGCTTTTTTTTTTTTGAGGCGACGTCGACGATACTGCAGCTACCGAACTCGTCGATCACTTCTCTGTTAGGGCGCCGCCGCGTTCTGCAATGCTTGGGGGATGGTGGAGAGCAGGGCGCCGAGCACGGGAGCCTGCAGCCCGGCAGGTATGTATCTTTTTTTTTTTTTTTTTTTCTTCTTCACTCTCTATTCGGCGGCGGATTGGGGGCGTGCGAATTGCTGCGTGTATGATGCCGAGTGACTACTTGCTGAAGATGCCAAGGTGCCTATCTAGGCACTTATCTCATACTACTTGCTCCTCGTACGTCGTTCGGCATCGTGGGGAGGAGGTGACGCGGACTTCAATATCGTTAGGTATGTCTCTAGTCTAGTTTGTGGAGTTAACTGCTGTGCGTGTGGAGTCCTCAGGTGCGCAAGTAGGGTTAGCAGGTAAGGTATGTCTCTGTTTCTTTCGTTCTTCAGCGCAACTCGCATAGGGGCGGCTCTGCTCTGCGTCGTCCTACGACACCGGTAGGCAGCTAGTGGCGAGCCATTCGCAACTTGCTTCCGAAGGATGATATTTCTTCCAGGAACCACAGCGCTCAGCACGCACGAAAGCAATTTACGGTGGAGGCTCGGCAATGTGGCGGCTGGTGTCACGACAGCGGCTTGAAAGGTTGGCAAGCTACGCCATCTTCAAACGTTCGCCGAGATTTTTTTGTTCGGCGCGGGTTCGCGGGTTACTTATGAGGCCGAGATGTGTCGTCGTGTGAGATTGATGACATGGAGCACGCCCATACCCCAGTTGTCGACTTAATCCTTCTAGTTGCATAGAAGAGCCTCTCTCGGCCTACCCAGCTAGGCAAGTATATGACAGGTTGAGCGGTGGGTGGGTGTTGTGATGCTAGCTAGCCTTTTACGCGGCCCGTGATTTTGATGTGGTATAACCCCGAGCACACGACACGACATAATGCTCAGATTCCACGGCAGTAGTTCTTATACGGCACTTGCCTTCCATTTTGCAATCATCGTAACTAAACTGCTGGAAATATTCGATCATGACTAGTTATTGTTGAATTCATCCACTTAGATCGGCGTTGCAATGGATAGGGGTAATGCCATGATAACGAAGTCGACTTCGATGTAAGCAGACGTATTTCTTCTCCGGGGCTCAAACAGCTGCCAGCTTTATGTCTCACGCTCCACTGAACAAGGGGGATTGATCAGGTTATCCATACTAGCTTGGTCAACATGGTAGGCTTACCTTTTCACTAGGACAATAGCTAGGTACGGAAGCTGATGAGGAGCTATTCGGAGACCGATTAGTACGGACGCACTTCGTGTTCTATAGTATTTCACTCTTTCCTTTTTGGCCCCCAAAGTGTAGGGCGGTCTACTCCGCCGCCTTTCGCACCGCACCGCCATGAAGATGCCCCTTTGTCGGAAGCATCCGAGATTGCGACTTGAATTGATAGTTTCCAGATGCCAAACCTTAGGTCTCAAACCCTAAACTTCTGGATCTTCAATCTAGTACTATAGGCAGACGATATGATCCTGTAGGTAGATGGAGCAGAGTCCCCGCCATTTCGCCTCGTACAAGTAGCAGAGGGGGACATGTGCTCACGTAGTATCCATACACAATGCCAACTCGGTTACAGACTTGGAAACTTCTTGCTCTCGTGCGAGTAGAATGGTTCGGCCGATCGGAAGATTGATGATCATCATAACCGCTTGACCTCTATCAGGCATTATTTGGGAATATCCAATTGAGAAAAGCCCTGATGCCATCTGCATTCGCCTCAACCCGACTAGGATAAGAAAGACGTCTTGTGCGGAGGACAACGTATACGTAAGATTGATTCATTTGACTTGACTTCGCTTAGCTAGATCGGAAAGTTTTGGCAATTTGACTATGTCGAACATCCCTAAGATTTAGCTAGAGTGGATCTTCCACTGTGAAGTTTTTCGTCTCCACACAATTGTGCCCCTATTTCCGTGACACCGGGAGTCAAGAGCAATGGCTAACTCAAGCCTATTTGCAAATATCTTTAAGTATATCGTCAATTTTTGATACTTAAAACTAGTTCTAGGGATATTATAGGAATAAGGATTACTTATATATCTAATTGGTTCTACTTGTCATGAAGGCTGCCAGCAGACTCACCAAGTCAGTTTAGTCGAACCCAATCGCAAACATTTCCATATGGGGTAGGCGTGGGGAAGATTCAGCTCTCGCCTTCCCTGTATATCAACACATACTCAGCCGCCAAATAATGGAGCAGGCAAATTTCTTTACGTCTCCCTCGACATGGCTAATGTCGATTGCTTCCCGGAGGAAGTCAATGTCCTCACGCTGAACTGCTGGGGCATCCCGTACGTATCCCAAGCTCGAATCTATCGTCTAGAGGAGATTGGGCGGCACATCGTTAAAGCCGACCCTCAACCGCATATCGTTGGACTTCAAGAATGTTTCTCGAGGAAGGACTTCGAACGGATCCAGCAGGAAACACGCAGCATCTTGCCGTACTCTAAGCAATACTTCGCCGGACCACTCGGGACGGGACTCGTCCTTCTATCACGATGGCCCATCGAGGAGACTTCGATGACCCGATACCCCCTGAATGGCTCCCCAACCGCTCTCTTCCACGGTGACTGGTACGCGGGCAAAGGCGTTGCCTACGCGAGAATCCGCTACGGCAAGGAGCCGGACAATGTAATCGACATTTTCAACACGCATGTAAGCTCTTAACACGCTGCTCTACATCGTAACCATTCCAGAATCACTGAGTTTTTGTGGACCCCAGCCGTCTCTTTTACTCTTCCTAACGTACCACCCTACTCACAGCTACATGCTTATTACCCCGGTAACGAGTACGTCTGTCACCGCGTAAGCCAAGCCTGGGAACTAGCCAAGCTCCTACAAGATGCTTCGCGACGTCGTCACGGTAGGGCTCTGGTTATCCTCCTCGGCGACTTGAATGCCGATCCAACATCGCTTCCATACCACATTCTCAAGAGCTTCGCTCCCGTTATGCGCGATACCTGGCTCCAGTACTCCGTCCAGCACAAGCAGAGTCCTAGCGGCGACCAGGGGTTTAGTAGTAATACGCGGGGAAAAGATGTCGATATCCAGAGCGGAGTCACTTATGGGTCGCCGTGCAACACGTGGATGTGGACGCGCGCCCAACGGGCCCGGTATCTTAAACGACCGGTCACTTCCACTAGCGAATTTATTGTGCCTGCGGAGGTCGGACGGGAGCAAGCTGTGCGAATCGATTACGTGCTAGCGAGCGTGTCGCCCTTGCAGTTCACCGCTATGTCCCGAGACCACAAAGATATTGAGATAGATCCGTCCACGGATGGATTCGGAGGTAGAAGCGATGCTGGGAAGATCAGGAGTGTCAAAGAAGGCAGCGGAGTGTGGACAGTGAAATTGGCGAAAGTGGGTATGGTGGATCGGCATCCCGTGCTAGGCTGCTCGTTGAGCGACCATTTCAGCGTCGAGACGACTTTGGCCTTCCGGCAAGTAGAACAAGGAGGCCCAGAAAGGCAGGATTTGCTGGATGAGCCCAGTGGCTCAGTCTTAATCACCTCCATAGAACCGGAGGAAGCGATGGGTAGCAAGACTCGTGTCCAAACACTCCAAGGGGTGGCGGCGGACGTCACTTCAACGCCGGGTGGGACCTTCGGTGAGCTAGATGATGTTGGGCTTCTCGACGAGATTCTTCACGTTCTTAACGATTTTGACAAGATAAGGAGATGGCAGGCTCGGTGGCGAAGAGTTAGGTTAGGTGTTGCGAGCACTGTGTTAGCAGGGTCACTGGTAGGAGTCTGGGTAGTCAACGCACCTGGTTGGGCTCGTTTTCTGCTTGCTCTCGCTGGGGCTTTAGCATCAGCATTCGTTGCTCTTGATATCTGGGCTCGCCTATCTCTTACTTCGGCCGAGACGGCGGCGCTGGGGGAATTGGAATGGGAAGTGAGAAACGTTAAAAGGAGCCAGGGGGTAAGGGGTTGACGATACCTCCTAGGAGACCGGATCTATGTGGATCCGGAACTTGACAATTTGTTCCCTGGATGACTCACTATAGTGCTGCCTAGACCGTTAGATACCTTATATATTCTGATTACAACTCAATTTTTCAAGCGCCACTCGAAGGTGCAATGTGGTGCAACGGTCTTGATGTGTGGGGTGGGTTCAGGGGGCTCTCTAAAGGTCGAGGTTCGAGTGGCACTCCGAGCAATAAAGTCAAGAAGTTGCATCACAATTCCCACAACCACAAACTCCGTGGGATTCTGACCATAGTCAGGCGGTTCTTGCGCGAGGCAAGGCAGACCCCATACGCGTAGTATGGGAACCCACACATTGCTCAACTTTTTTTGTCTTTTTCTTCTCCACCCCCCCCCCCCCCTTTTTTTTTTCAAATCCCGTTCGAACCCGCAAGCGCGACTGATCTAGATCTAGATATGTACCCCTATCAACACATCCTGTCATACTCTTGGAGCTATAATGGCTTGTGGGCCATCGAGGTCGTCGCGACTTAGAATACACCAACCTCAAATTACAATATATTTTATCAAAATCAACGTATGCATGAATAGAATTTTGGGAACGAAGACATCTTCGGTTATATAAAGAATAAAAAGTACTAAGATATTTCACTAACCTAGTCGTTTTAACTGACACCTGAATCTCGTATGCTATCCGAGCCATGATCCAGTATCCTTTGCCCCTTTTCTTATGAATATGATTGATGTAGCTTCTAATAAATTGCTACGGTTTTAACATTCCGCAGCGTCTTATCGTTCACTGCTTTCCCAAACATGATATCATGGACATATCCATTCCCAATAACAGTGTAAGAGGGAAGAGGATCGAGCTTATCTTCAACATTGGTAAGTTCCCCAGTTGGTCTCAAGAAAAACGGCGACGGGGAACCCAAGAGAACGTGGATCTCGTCACCGACATCTGCATCTCGGGGTGCCAATCCGATCATGCCACCTTCGGTGATGATTAGTCGACGCTGCCACAGACAAACGACAATATGGTACACCGTCTTCGATGCCATAGACTGAAGCACGTCATGTGATGTATTGCTAAGCAAAGGTCCAATCATCCGAAGCCAGTGCCACAGCTTCCGCAACTCGGAGTAGTCCTTCGCACTAGCTGTTCGGTATGATAGGCCTGGCACGTCGTCCTCGACACAATTGTTAAAGATCGTTCTCCAAAAGGCGTCCCTAAGCGTGCCTTCTTTAGGGGGCTTCTTCGGCCAATTTTTGGGTCCCAGTCCAGCCATCTCTATCCACTGTCGAAATACGCCGGGTGTTTCGACCCATTTCTCCACTGCTTCGCATACCCTTCCCACTTTAGCGACCTTATCGATCATGAGAGACTGTGCGAGAAGAGTCTCATCCTGCCCAAGCGCTAAGTCAGAGGGATCTTGGCTGTGGGGCCCCGAAGCGGAAAAGGAGGATGACATGATGAGTCTTCGCTGCTCGATGATCGCCCCCTTCGATGGCAGCGAGCAAAAATACGCATCGGGAATCCATGAGGGCATTTCTGGGGTATCCTTTGGCGCAGAGGTACGAAACGTCCTCTCACCAAGAAGAAACTCCATCCCTGCTTGCTCCGATATGCATTTGAAGACGGCTTCGGTGATGGCTACTCGCGGGGGGCTGCTGTAGTTAGGCACGAGGGGTCCGGCAGAACCCCAATCCGTGACGAGACCGAGAAGTCCGTAAAACAGATCTCTCTTCTCCGTGGCTTGGAACGTGTAGAACTGTCTTCGCAGTTGAGAGAGAGTCGTCGATTCGTGCTTGGCCCATTTCTCCCGCGTAGAGACGATCGGGTCGACCTGTTCCTGGATCACTACGAGGGGATCGAAACCTAGTGCCCGTAGCGACATGCGGTGAGACTTGCAACAAGTCGCGGCATGGGTGTTGAGCATTCCTACCGCCCCCACTAGAGCTTGGTAAGGCAGCTCCTCAGATGCGTAGAGGAAGGTGACCTTACTAGGCAAGACCAGCTCCTGAATAACCCAAATACGCCTCCACCACGGGAGATCCAGGAGCTGCCTCAGGGCCGTGAAATGGTCTTCGTACTTCTTCACGATGTCCGTTCGTTTACCCTTAACTGCCTTGAAGCACGGGAGATCAGGCAAGTGCCTGTCCGAAGCCAACAGGCCCAGCAATTCGATAGCTCGGACAGCGGCCACGGACTGCACGCCTGCGCCGGGCTCTTCAGCACTCTCTCCTAGCCAGATGATACAGCCGGTGCAGCCCTTATATATGTCTCCCATCATCCCGACCTGGTGGGATTTCTCGTCGTTGTCGCGTTGGTTGATGCATATGGCGTCGATCCATAGCACGCGAGGGGTCGAGGGCTTTCGGAGACGTCGCATCGCTAGCCACAGGTTATCGGTAACTTCGAGAACATGATTGTCGAGCCAGATGGACTTCTTGCTCTTTCGATCCCCCCACACGTAGGATAGTGCTTCATACTTCTGTTGCAAGTCGAAGGGCACGACATTGAGGGTACAATGGATCTCGTCGGACCAGAGGCCAGGCTGTAGCGTGACGAGTCGGATATGCGGGTTTTCAGGGTCGAGTGTGGAATACAGGTGTCCCGGCTTTCGGCCGGTGACCTGCTGGTCTTCGGTATAAGTCATGATCATAAAATTAAATTGATTGGAAAAACTTAGCAAGATAGTAGACTAGAAGAGTAGTCGTAGTGTCTGTGTACCTAAGAGGACTGTATGATCTCCCTTTCTCTCATGGTCTGGAAAGAGGGACGATAACCTCCTTTATACTGGCATAATGTTTCAAAAGCATGCCTCGAAGCCAGCACTTCTGTCTTTTTAGAGTAGGTAGCCACCGAAAACAACTCGTAGCTCGGATGACGTTGCCACTTCGCCTTTTCCTACTTCGAAAACCCGTTCTCGATAATCTTGTGCGATCTACAGGATAGAAGCACTGCGCGGCAATGGCCATTGCCTAGCCTACCTGTGAAAGGAAGGCTACGATAATACGACCGAGGTGCCGCGCTTCCCGAAGGGGTCTATCTATCCAGACTCAAGCGGTGTAGTTGAGCCTCAAGATCTCTACGAAATGGATCGAATTGTGATATCTTGCCAAGGGCAACGCAGACGATCACTCTGCCCCCACGGGCATCTGCCTAAATATTGGGTTGAAGAATTTCCATCGTTGGCTCTTAAGCTCTCCTTTTATCGCCATTGTTAATAACCTAGTCAGGATAGTTATAATTTTGATGTATTATATATATCCAGGTGCTATAAATCAGTATCAAGGGCATATCTATCAAGGTAATTTGTAGATTTTAGACCCGTGTGTGAACTATATGTCGAGTAGGTATTCTTTCTACGGAGAGAAACGATTAACAAAACGATCATTTTTCAATATCCAGGGGTAGATATCAAAGTTTTGCCAGAATTACTGATGTAGTTTATTTTCACGCCAGTTCAGGTAACGTAACTCTTTGTGTATTTATTATGTGTCATTAACCGTTATTAATATGTCCTTGGGGGCTACATGACCTCACGTAAGAATTATGAAGAGCAAGGGGGGACTGAAGCTGAATTCACGAGAACCATGGTATGGATGTTACTTTGATTGGTAAATCATTATGGTTGGCAATCCCAATCGGGAGGTATAGTATGGCCTCTAAGCGAACATACCTAGTTATTCATTACCTATAGCATCATGGGAAGATGTGAGATATTCCAGTCGTTCCATGGAACTGGAACACCCAAACCCTTGAAAACCAGGGCACATTCCTATAGCAAGCTTCATTATTTGCGAAGTAACCACGGGGCCTGCGTTATAGGCTACCAATTAAAGCGTTGCTGTCCTTCATATCAAGCATAAAGGCTTAGGACAAATAATTTTGGAGTGTAACCTAAAGATATTTACCTAGGTGAGATCTTCTGCTTCAGTAAGCCTTTTCCTTTCTTTATTAATCTATAAAATACGAATTACAAAATGTTGTTCTAACCGTAGTTATTTTGTATAAGTATGCAAGTACGTAAGTACTCATACCTTGTCGTCGATGAATACCTAGGTCACTCGTGCGGTCTTACCGATATGTAGCGTATCATTGCATGCCTGAGCACGTACCTATACGAGTTCTACGATGGATGCCCAATTGGATGGTACATGTTGGATAAACATATACAATAAGTCCGCTTGCCGAAGGTGATCATTCTCTGCTTGGGAAAGCTTTCGCCATTCAGGGAAAAGGAAGCCTGCTAATTATAGCACCGGCTCCAGCAAATTGGCACCTATCTGAATAGGTAGCTAAGTCGGTTTCAGAAACAGATCTGACTTAACAGATCTGATATTGCACGTGCCGCTCAGTCCCGCGTTGCACTGCTTCGTAACCTGGAAACTATTGCCAACGACCCCGGTATGTGGGAATGGCCATGGTATAAGGGAAGAGTATTAAGCACGTTTTGGGGGTCAATACCGATAATCACCTGCGAGGCTGCAGCTCGAGGGATTCCCCGTCATAACCATGGAAACAGATTCGTAAAGCATGTTCTGTCGATCATCAACCCTACATACCTACACATGCTTGTAGGTTGCCTCTGGGGTTGCCTCCCAGGGTGGGATATAAGCCTCATAGAATACCTAGTATTGGCCTCGATCACCAAATAATATGTCTGATCATGTCTTCGGTACTCATTGGGCATTGGCAACCTTTGATATCATGCCGCCTAACGGACAAGGCAATGGATAAGTTTGCAAGGTGATTGGTTGAAGCAAGTTTTAATAGTCCAAGATGAGATGTGACGGTACATGTCCAGATGTACGTACCTTGCAGACTAGGTACCTACTGGATGAGAGATGCATATATGCTTGGGCCAATTAAAATGCGCAAATCAGATTCGCTTCTACTTAATCCGGCTTGGCACAAATATGGTTAGACGGGGAAGTACGATGAGCATAACAATATTGAAAGAGGAAGTAGGATGTTGTGGCGTTTTGAATATTTGAAAATCGTTGCTGCATGTAACTTTGGTGCATTCTGTTCATCGTACCTACCCAAAGATTAAAATATGACCTACTTACTTATCACTAGTAGATCGTAGCAACCGTTCCATGGCTCTTTTAAGGCCGTAAATTAGGTACCTCTGTAACCACTGTACGACGTAGTGAGACTGCCCTGAAGAAAACTTGTGGTACCTACCTCAGAACCCTATCGCTCAAAGAAAAGCAACTCAATCCCGCTGCGTGCTTTTCGCATTCTTCACTTTCTTTCTCCTTCACCTCATTCAGGTTGGAAGTGGACGTAGAATTTTCCTATTGTTTGGCGTCAAATCCTATCGGCGTAAGGTGACACCTACCCATCTCGTGGAGGTCCCTATCTAAGTACAGGTCTCACAACCAACACTCACTCCTTTACACGACGATCATTACAAGCATCTTGTGCAACTTCTGACGCTTCATCGCCTTGAACAGAACACCAAAACAAATCAAGGATCTCGTCGTTCAAGTTCAATTTGACATACCACAAGATTCATCACTTGCACAATTTTGCGATTGAGCATCTGCTGTGGCCAACATAACCGTTGCACGAATAATCACATACCTCCCTCCGTTCAACATATAACCATCACCACGAACGCTTCATCCCTTCGTCAACTTTCAAACTTCTACCTAATATCCAATTCCCTTCACCGTCGCACAGTAGCGATTTTATATTGCGCCTCTTCCCACAATTTATTCACCGAAACGTCGTGGACACAAATTGAATAGAGGCACCATAATCATGACAGCACAGAGCCACGAAATGGACATGGGAGGCATGGGTGGCATGGACGGTATGAATATGTCGCACTCGACTGGAATGCACATGGTCTTTCAGAACAGCAAGACTACATCCCTTTACTCCGAGTCCTGGACGCCAAGCAGCGCGGGCGCCTACGCTGGAACCATCATCTTCTTGATCATCCTCGGTGTCGTGTTTCGACTACTGCTTGCGGGCAAGGCACTTGCGGAGGAGCGATGGCTGGATGCTGAGATGAAGCGAAGATATGTTGTCGTGCAAGGCAAACTCCCAGTCGCCGAACAGGTGTCTACCGACAGCCTTGGCAAGAAGATGACTCTTACTGAGAATGGTGTTGAAGAAGAGGTTGTGGTGGTCCAGAAGAAAAAGAGTCATCTTCGTCCCTGGCGCATGTCAGTAGACCCCGTACGAGCAATCCTCGACACCTGCATCGCCGCTGCCAGCTACTTCCTGTAAGTCATTATTATACCAACTATTTAGCCAATTTAGTAGTTTCTAACCATGATACAGCATGTTGGCAGTCATGACCATGAATGTCGGCTACTTCATGGCCGTACTCGCCGGCACATTCGTGGGTAGCTTGCTCGTCGGTCGATTCTACAACGCCGAACATTAAGGCGTATAGTCTCATGGAAGGAGGGATGATTGCCGAATTTTCGTGTTGCCAAGGCGACTCACATTAATTTCCCGCGTACGAAACGATGACACCAACATGGGAGTTCCGGTTTGCGAATTTTCAGGACGGTATGCATTCGGTTGTTCTATGTAGGCTGTTGATTCAGCCTGTAACGGAAAGGGAGGGGCACCGTTCATGTCATCATTGCAGTTCAGAGCAAGGCGTTTAGGAGGGCACGAAAGCCCGCTGGCATTTGTTACACAGACGAGATAATCTATGAAAACTTTCGCTGACTTGATAAAGATCCAAGCTGATATGTAATAGCTTGAAGCCATGCATTTAACGATCCAGTTAGAGAGATCGGAGTCTAGAAGGGTAAAGTAGGTACAATATTAGATGCATAAACCCCCTCAAATCTGCTCGTCGAATCGGGAAGCCCTTGCCGCGCCCCCACGTTTCCTCCGCATTGCCCATCGCCCTCCAGCTTGACCCGTTCCAGGACCCTAGTTCCCTGCTTCCGAGTTCCGGGTCCGAGACTCGGTCGAGAACTTTTCACGTGCATCGGGTTAACTTCATGCTACCCAACATCCAATCAATCATGTCACTGGTACTAAGGAGCTTTTATTTAACTCTCTGGGTAGAATATCCATACGAAAACATACTCCGCAACCTCGACACATCTTCGTTTTGAGGGGCAGCAAAGGCGCGATTTACGAAAAAGAACGAGACAATAGAATGCACTAATCATTCGACCCCAAGTTTATGACGAAGTTGAACGTGTTCAGTTTGAAGAGGGTATATTCGGAGGGGTCTCTCAAGTTGATACGTATGACCTGAGCCTTCTTCATCGACATCACCTATTTACAGAAGTGTTACTCGCCAAATAGTAAGACGAGGTTAGGATGTCCGGTTGTCTCCTTTCAATTCACGCAGCAAACTCAGTGTCATTATCACTGACACACTTTGCGATATTTATAACGTTCTACTATTCGACATCAAGTCATATAGGCCGCGTTTGGCCGCGTCGAATGATATATTTGCAAGATCATCACGAAGAGCCTCCGATATGGAATCCAAGCGGGATGCTTAACTAATCAGGTATAGAATATTTAAGTTATCCCATTATATTTACTGATGTCGGTCTGCATGTAACTATGCTGTTGCTGCTGACGATGACGTGCCGGGGACATGGTAAATGGCGAATATGGGGTAAGGGATCCTCGGACGAGGACGATACAAATTCACAGGCCACCCATATAAGATAAATAACGATCAAAGAACTACAACTACAACAACTACCATTTGCTTGGATTGTACGATTATACCAAACTTCCCTGGAAACTATTTCTGAACGAGGATGCTGCCCAAGGCGAAGACTAGAATAGGGGTTACCATAACATAACATCCACAGACTAAACAAGCAAGAGTAAAGAGATAAGGGCTAGACAGCTCGAGTGTAAAGATGGAGCTATCATCCTTGAGCGTTACTAGGTATAATTCGAAGATCGCACACCTCATAATGCATCGTCAATCGCTTATCACCATATGATTATCCAAGGTTTTTACTGCTAATAAAAACTTGTCCACGATGATGATTTCATGTGCGAGAACTTTTTCAAGATTTCAAATAGTTGCCTTAGATAACACATTTCTAGATAAAAAGAGAAGAGCAGTTAGCTAAGGCGAAAAATGAGGCTCTCCTACCTGGCCTTAGAAGAACGGAAACTCCCTCATCAGTTGTGCGACAACTAGAGTTCTTGCCGTAATATCTAGCATGACGAAATCGCCGCATATAAAAGCAAAATAGTCTTTACGCTTTGTTCAAGCTATCCGATAGGTAACTCAGCCGAAGTTACTAACTTCGATCATCTAGTTATACCTTCCCCCCTTGCCAATGCCCATAGTCCGCAGGATGGATGGAGCAATCATGCCATATCGTCCTTACCTCCCGAATCTTACTATCTCCATCCACACACACAACCTTCCAAAGCGAAGCCAAGATATAAAGCCAAGATATCAAGCCCAGGAAACCGAGCCGCGAACAAACACCCCCGTCGGTGAAGAAATGCCCAGAAGCCAAGAAGAGTCGCCGCATAGGTACGCCGCAGCACGAAATTCTACGTACGAGTTTGCTCTTGCCCTCCGCTACCTATCTATCTACCTACCTACCTACCTTGTCTACGTAGTATTAACGTGAGGGTTGGAAATAATGGGCAATAAACTCTCGATAGGACAAAATCGACTCTCGACTAGCCCGATTAGGGGCAAGGGGCAACAAGCCCTTATCCATGCAGTTACACAAGCTCCAACGGCATCCCCTATACGGACCGATGACAGTTACCTAGGTACCTAGGTAGTTATGTATGTATGTACTGCGGCTTTGCTGTCGACCAATTAACATGAACCCCTTGTTCCTTCAAACCTCGAACTCTAACAACCCAAAAAAAAAAAAAAAAAAAAGGACACGATTAAGTAATCATAGGCCAGATAGAATCTGGTAGGTACGTGTAGTACAACAGAGGCAACAGAACGCGAAGCATCATACATACATATATATGTACAGCACCTTTAGCAATATCATCTCCCGTGTAAACGTAGAACGGCCGAAGCTACTACTACTACTACTTACTACAACTTACCACCTCAAGCCGCCACGCAGCTTGCTCACACCCGATTTATAAGACGAGAACCAGAAGCGATTATATCCCCGAGCCACATTTTCGAGAGCGGAATGTATACGCGCGTGTGCCGTCTCTCATAGTATTCCTTCTCGGTAGTACTTGTAATTCGAAGACGCGTATTGTAAATGACGAATCCTTGAGAATCCTAAATTCTAAAAATACCCATCTGAAGTTAGTTGCGGAGAGCCATGGGGCGCGATCGACACGAAACCATGACGGATCATTTCTGGATAAGCATGTTAGGTAGATATTTTACGAGCGGGTTTTGGGATATCTGCAACTATGGAAAGTGGAGAGATTGTAGTATGAAGCAGTTCGAAAGAGTTAATTGCTAGATGCTAAGATCTTGGGAATCTACGGGTCAGATGATTCCTGTCGGGGTAATTCCTATCATACAATTGCGCCTCTAGACGGTGTAGAGCGTCTCACCATTCCATCCACCCACCACCCCTCATCGTAGCCCAATGCCTAGAGAGAATGACTTCAGATGAATGAAATGACCGGACCGAAAAGTCGAAAGGCACGTGCCCAAGACCATACAGATGTGATTATGGGGAGCGAGACACGAAATGACCTTAACCCCCAACGATCCATAAACTGAATCTTATTGAGAATTGTCGTCGTTCCGTCCGCAAGGATCATTTGGTTGCCAAGGACTTTGGGTTGGATAATAGAATGAAGCTGAAATGTCGGCTAAGTCCCAATGGAATCTCATCCGTCCCAAGAATCGATCGACCACGTCACGTAATCGGGTTCAATCCCATCGGTTTCATTCATATATTCATCAGCCATGATTCGTAAATCATTGTCACCGTTCCCTTGTCAAACTAAAGAACGACCGAGCCGGGTTAAGAACTAGTCTTGTTTTCAATGGGGAGTTAGATGTGCATCTTTATCCTTGTGATAAGATTGCGACGATGCTATTACCACCGAACTTGACTAACATCCTCCGAATTCCCTATGTTTGAGCGTTTCGTGGGCGTAGAGGAACGTCATTCTAGGAAATTCAAATACGCCATTGTAGGAAAATTAACGTTGAATTTCGTCCGACTGGGTATCTAGGTAAATAGACCGTCGTCAAAAGGGGCTCGAGGGTACACTTCCAAAGGTGTTAAGACGATGGGCGACAGTCCCTTACTCGTCAAACTTAACCACCTTGGAGGATCAAAAGTCGGTAGACAATCGTCAAGGCGAAATGTCGAGTTCATAACTAGCGTCGATTCGTTCTTTAGAATGAAACGATGAAAACGAGAATTAATGGATGGCAATTCGGGCGCGATGACCGCATCGCCAGATCACCATCTTGACTAGCGATAGGTATTTTAATTGAAAAAGACAGAAAAAACGAGGATGGGATCAAAGTCGTATTGTGCAGAGCAAAGAAAAAATAAGTCACGATGACCCAACAACGCCGGACCACCGAAGCCGAAGCCTTGCAATTATAATTGTGTGCGGAATGCCTCGAATGAAAAGAGAACCTCATGAATGCATTAAATTCGGGGTATCAGGCGCAAGGCAATTTCATCGCCGAAAGAACGATGATCAGGATTGGTGCGAGGTGTGTTGTGGCATGCCAGACTGAGGCGGCAGACCGAATTGGCCGCGCTGCTGGTGCTGCATGTAGCTTTGATACGCCATGGCTTGTTGCGGGTCCATTGGGACGTTGGGTACGTAGTTGGGAGGCATGTGCGAAGGCATTCCCGGTCGGCTTGTTTGAGGAGGTAGGTGGGAATTGGTTGGCTCCTCGGGCGACTCGACTTGGTTGGAGTCGTCAACACCGTTCTCGTTGCCTTGAGTAGGCTCTGGCGCGTTCAGACAAGCCTAGACAGGCATCAGTAAGCTTCCCATTCAAGGTCATGTTTAAAAGTCTTGTCGCGAAATACGAACCTGGATAAGATTCTTGCCCTCTGCCTTGGTGACCAAAGGTTGGAGCTTAGGAGTGGTGAAGGTATACACTAGGCCGGTCTCCGAGACGACTAGCAGCAGAACTTGGGTGCCCGTCAGAACAGAAAGTTCGTAGGCCTAGAAGAATTAGACGTTAGTACCGATTCGATATCGTTGGAAACTCAATTTCAAAACAAGTAACGCGTTTTACGCGATTATTAAAAAAAGTAAAGGGCGATGGACTGTTATTTGGGATGAGGTGAAGAGGGCGTCAGCGTACCTTCTTCATAATACCAGCCTTGCGCTTGGAGAAGGTGATGTGGCGACGCGACTTATCACTAATAAACTTGATCTCAATCTTGCGACGTTCGCGACCTCCCTTCTCATCATCATCGTCGTCGTCGTCGGCAATGCTGGCGCGCTGGCGCTTGATGCCACGACTCTCTGCAGGACCTTGGTTGCCATTGCCGACGTGTGGTTCCTCAAGTTCGGTTGGCGAGGTCTGGTCGTGTTGATCTGTGATGTCGGCCATTTTTGTCGAGGTACGACGATTGTATCACGAACAAAAAAGGCAAAAATGGTGGAGATACTGTTTTGGTCGTGGTGCCGACGACCTATACTTGATCTGGCGTTGAGCGGAGAGGCTCTGGGTTGTAGTAGGCTGTAGTAGGCTGTAAATTCTGTCGCAGAAACCTGGTTGGGGCGCCTGCTGTATCGAGTCTGGTGCGCTTCTCTATCGTGCGCGGACACTGGCCGGAATAAAGTGGGAGGTTAAGGCCGAGGAATGCCAGTCTCCAGTAGTGGAAATTATTATTATTAATTTTCGTCTTACTCTCGAAAAAATGAGAGAAAAAGGAAAATAAGAAGAAAATTAAAAATAAAAAATTGCCCGTTTTGTTTTGGGATTTGGAAGGGTAATGGAGGTAGCGTAGGTAAATAAGTGGTAGGTAGGTTAGGTAGTGGTAGTGG